AATACTGAATGCTGATAAAATTGTTGTTTACAATCTGATATCCTAGTTTTAAGGTAAAATGTTTAGCAAAAACACCTTCAACTTTATTGTTATTTTTCCCGTAAAGAGCAACACAAAAAATTGTTATAATTTCCTTGAAGAGTGCGTAATGTTATAATTGCATAGTTCGGAGAGTATATAACAATATTTTGCAAAACTATGGCTTTTTAAATCTAAATGATAAAGTATGCCTTCTAAGTACCAGAGATGTGGTCAAGACAGTTAAAGCTAAGACTAAAACTAAGACCAATTAACTATTGGTCAAGACCAAGATATAAGACTTCAAGACAAAAATCAAGACCAAGACATCACAAAATCAATCCAAGACCAAAAACAAGACTTTTCACAAGACAAAGATCAAGAAATATACTCTTAGATGTTCAACATAATACACAGAACTCATGCTCACACCTGCATGTATACTATTACGCCCTTTCTGATGCCTTATTTTATCATTTATGCATCTCAAAAAAATACGCATTTACTTATAAAATAATCAAAATAGAGTAAACCTTCTGAAATTTTTGTTTATACTTTAAGTTTGGCTTTTTTAATAAAAAACAAACAAACTATGTGTTTTAATTTGTTTTTGTTAACTTCATGTCCAATAGTTCATCTTTAATAATCTAGTATTGCACATAAAATTATTTAAAATGACATTTAAGATTAAAAAATACTAGGTAAGTTATATACAACAAGTAAAATAATAAAAAAACCAAATAAATAAAACCATTATAAATTAAAAACCATTTTTTTAGTGATGCTAAATTAACATTTTGCAGGAACAAAATATTAATTTAAAATAAGAAACAAAAAAATCAATTTAATAGTTTTAACTAAAAAAAATTTTTGTTTAGGAATTCATTTTAATTTTTGTGTTGATTTTATATTTTGTGACAATAAAAAAATGTAAAATTTCTTTAACACGTTGTTGAAAGTCATAAAAATTGTTTAAAGATTTAAATTCAGCATACAAAATACATTTTTATACATACAAAAACAATAATACACAATATACAAATAAAATAAAATATAATATAATATAATATAATATATATATATATATATATATATATATATATATATATATATATATATATATATATATATATATATATATATATATATATATATAATTATTACTTTGAAGTAGCAAATATAAGAAATGAACAAAAGAATTAAAAAGTTTCACAATAAAAAAAAATTTTTTAATTGAATTTTTTTTCAATTTTATGTTGTTTTTGACTATAAAAATTCTTTAAAGATTTAAATTGAGCATACAAAATACAAAATTACACAAATAAAAACTAGATATAAAATAAAAAGTTTTAAAACTGATAATGACTTTATTTTAGAATTACTACCTTTTAAAACTGATAATGACTTTATTTTAGAAAAATTATTGTTTTCAAGTTATTTATTTTAAATGTTATTACAAATGTTAACGCTTGTTATTACTAATGTAATTTAAAATAATTTTTGCAAAAATAAAAATGGTAATACAAATTTAAATTGTTAATACAAATGTAATTTTTAATTTTTGCTCTCTAAAAATTTATCAGTGTAGGTATACTGCAACATTTTTTTTCTATAGGAAAAAAAATTTAAATTTCTAGTTGAATGGAATTTAAAAGGTATTTCATGCAAAGAAAAGAATTTAAATTAGTTTTTAAAAGCCTCATAAAAGTGAACTCAAGACATAAATTTTTCTTATGAACAATTTTTATAAAATATTTATAGGTTCTAAATCAAAAACAAAATATTGTTAAATTAATTAAGGGTTAAATTAATTAAGGGTTAAATTAATTTGGAGGATTTATATACATACAGGGCCATTCCCAGGATTTGGGGGCCCTAAAGCTTCCTTCAGCTTGGAGGCCCACGCCCCTTACTCCAAAAAAATAAAAGACCCGTTAAATTTTTTAAAATGGCAAGGTCACTAGTTTATTCTTTTCCATTAGTTAAGCGCGAAAGAATCTTGATGAGCTTCAATTTACTGAATAAACGCTCACTTGAGGTCACTGTCACTGGAATTGAAGCAAAACTACGTAATGCAATCACTCTAATTCTAAAGAGTTCCCTAAGTCTTATTTCAGAAACTTTGTTTAATAAGTAAAATAGGCAAGAGGTTTCTTTCCAAAACTTGCATTAAGAGTTTATTTTATGTGAAGCAATTCAAGTTCATTTCTAAAATAAGATTTGATCATGTGATCAAATCTTATTCTGCAAAAGTCAAGATAAGCATATAGATATGATTTAAACAAAAGCTCTTGCAGACCAGGATTTAGGGCTGTCCATTCAAAAAAATACGCTTGAAAAATTACCCCCCTTCCTACAAAAAAAAAAAAAAAAAAAGTTCAACAGAAAAAAAATAAAACATGTTTTAAATAGAATAATTTACAACTAAAACAAAAAAGACATCAAAAGTTTACTTTATAGAAAACTATTTAAAAATAAAATGGTTGCTCTGAAAAAAAAAGTTAAAGGTAAAAAAGTTATTAAACTTCTAACTTAAATACATATTTCCAGTTTCCATAACTACAAAAACTCCAAACAAAAAACCTAATGAGACAAAACAGCTAAAAGTTGCAATTTACAAAGTTTTAATTTGCTATACTTTCCATTTTGGTCTACGTGATATTATCAACTTATTAAAAAGTTGCTCAAGTTCATTACAAAATCTGACAATTTATTCTTTTCCAACTTTAAAATTCCAACTTGCTTGATCAAGTATTTTTATATTTACCTTTTCCCCCAATAATTTGGAAAGCAATGAATAACAAAAGTTATTTGATAAAATTGGTATTTCAGCTTTTTTCCAAACTTCCTTCAGCTCACCAAGAACAAGTTTAAAAATATCTCTTGCAGAAGTTTTTTGAATATAAATGTAAATGAGAGTATCTACCTAACACATATTTTATTGTTGGTAGGCGACTGTAGCTTGATAATTTATTGGTTTCAGGGTTACCAATTAAGTAATCTTGATTATTTTTTCTAAGATTCATTGTTATAATGAAAATAAAATATTTGCTTATCCAATAAATTAGTTTTAAAAATAATTTTTTAAATTTCAATTTTGCTAATTGATATAACAACTACCTTTTTTTAAATAAGTTTATGAAATTTATATACTTAATCATGCAACGACCTTTAGTGGTCAATTATGCTTAAAACTAAAATTTTGCATTTTATTTAAAGTATTATGTTTTTTGAAGCATTTAAAGAATTTTTTAGCAATAAAATATGTTAAAAAAAGTAAACTTTATAATACGGTGACCTCTAGACATTAACTATTTTTTATGAAAATTTGGCCAAATGTTCATCTGATAACCTTTATTATATACACCAAGAATATAACGTAATAAGAAATTATTTATTTTTTAAGAATTAATGTCATTTTATGTTGAAATTAAATTCAAAGTTGAAAAAAGGGTAAAACAACGCTACTTTTTCAAGATGAAGACCTCTAAATGATATTTTGAATTTTTTCAAAAATTTACAGACTTTTTTTGACTCATTACTTAGGGCGTTGTGCATATAACTTAACTATTTTCAAAAATTTTCCGTAATGAAACACCTTGTGTTGTCTTTTTAAAGCACAACACAGTTTTTAAGAAGTAGAAATATAACTAACTTAATTGAAATACTGAAGGTTTAGCAGGTATGTTTTTTTTTTGTTTTTTTTTTGTAATTCACCTCCCCAAGGCCAAGAAGGCCACTACAGATGAGGAGGCTACTTGTGGTTATAACCCTCCCTCAACTCTATAACTTCGAAACACAAACAAGGCTGCTGCGCGGAGAAACAAGATAAGCATGGTACTACCAGGGACCTGGTGGGAATCGAACTTCAAACCTCTTCCTTATGAAGCAAGCTATATTCCAATACACCACTACCACATTTAACACAGAACTGCAAACTCTGACTAATTTTTCTTTTTTAAATCAACTAAATTAAAAAAAAAAAAAGTAACATAGTTGACGTCAAATTGTCTTGACCTCACCCTGTCAACAAATGTCAAAAAAATTCAGACCCCTAATTTGTAGAACATAAATATGGACAATCAATATGTTGCATAACCCCTATTTTGTAGAACATAAAGATGAACATCAATATGTTATGCAACACTAAATTTATTTTTAAAAAAGAACTTTATGAGCTGTTTTATTATTATTTAACTTGAAGCTCTTGATGTGGAAAAAAAAAAGGAAAAAAAAAAAACGTAATGCTATTGCCACTGTTGGGGCCCCCATAGGTTCGGGGTATATTGCTTGGGTGATTCACTTTCTGAACGGCTCTGTATGCATATATAAGATTTGTGCAACTAGTTTGTGAATTTATAAATTATGTTTTGTAGCTTTAAGAAGAATCATTTTGTTATACCTAACTTAAAAAACAAACCCCCCTACCTTCCTCCAAAAAAAATTGAATAAATAAAAAGTCTTATCTAAAAATAACCAAAACCACAATAACAATAACTGTCAGCATTTATAAAGCGAGCAAGGGTTACACAATGAATTTAATTATTTTAGTTGTCATTTGGGACAGTACATACATGTGACTACTTCAGGTTTTCTGTATTTTCAAAAAGTGATGTGCTCCCATTGCATGAAAGCATCTGCCTTGCAATGAAACAAATTGCGAAAGTACTGTCAGCAAATGAAGCACTCATACATACAATATTGCAAAGTTATGAATGTATTTAATAAACCTTAGCAATCAAAAAAACTAAAAATCTTAAAAAACAAATAAATAAAAGTATTAAGCATTTTAATTATTATTTATGAATAAAAAAATTTCACTGTCAAATAGTGGCAGGCATATATAAATCATTACGCGGGCACTATGGTACCAGGGAGCACAGAGTTGGGAACCACTGCTCAATATTATTTACATCTTAGTAAACTCCTAAATGAATATCTAAAATAAGCTCACCAAAATGCAACAAAGTTCTTAAACTTACCCAAAATAGAAAACAAAAATGAAGATTCTTTATAGTGTTTTTTAGAAGAATCCAGGTTAACAAGAAACTTTAATAAACTGTTTGGGTTTTTATTGGCTAATCCACAAATCATTGATAAACAACTAATCTTCAGCCTCTCATTGGCCATAATCTCATCACTACTTAAACAATTATATGCATATACAGATGCACAAAACTCCATTATTGTCAAATGTGCAAATTGATAATAACAACCAAGATCTGTTTCAATCCTTTCTATAAATCCAAAGAAATTACCTTCATTTTTATCAAAGTCATTAATAAAAGCTTGAATTTCATCTTTGGAAAAAATTATTTTATTGTTAACAAACATTTTATATGCAATTTTACAAATATTTAAAATATACTTTTTATTGGAACTGTCTTCCATTATCTCATATATCAGTTTATTGTTTTTTATGATATGTTTTCGCAAAAAGTATAAAAAAATATTTGTATACAAATCTGTCATTGTTAAGAAAGAATTTGTATCTATTTTTTTCGAATCACTTATAATTTTACACATTGAAGATAAATAAAACGGAACAGATGCCATGGCTTTTGCAATTGAAGACTCCTTTAAAGTTGTTTTTACGAATTCTTTTTTTTCTTCTATAACATGATTTTCTACATAATTATTTATTCCATTTTCATTAAACCCCATTACTTGAATGGTTAACTTATCGCTATGTTCTGTAGATATACTTTGGTATTGATCAATTGCATAAACTCTACCAGCAATTACATGTTTGTATTTTTGAATTTCTCGTAAAACTTTAACAATCAGAGTGCTAGTCAAACTTGGATTTAATAGCTCATTGAAATATTTAAACTCATCCAACCCATCAATTATAAACAGTGCAGTGTGACTACTAAATTTAAAATCGTTTACAATATCCTTGTAGAAAATATTTAATAATTCATTAATATTAGAAATATTTGCATATGAATTGAGTATCCTGCATTCCAAATAGAAAACAAGTTCAACATTTTTCCAAATTAAATCATTTGACCAATCAAGCAAACATTTTCTAAGCAACCATGTTTTCCCAATACCAGCTATTCCAGATATTAATATTACTGGTTTTTCTTTCATAAATATATCACTGTATGGAATTGGTGTATAACGAATTTGCTTTTCAAGAAATTCCTTTCGTTCAACACTGAAATAAGCGTCTATTTGAGCATTAACTGCATCAACAATACATAGATCAATAAATTTTTGTATGAGATCAACATTTGCAGATGCTTTTAATAGTGGTTGAAGTTCACCAATTTTCCCATAATAATTAAGATAAAATTTTTTCAGTTCAGCCGACATCCTCAACAAATCTAAATAAAACAAAACGATTTCTATTAAAGTCATCATCACAATCATAATTTTTTGTGAAATTGATTTTTATTGATTTGAAGTTATATAAAACCAAAATTTTTATTTGCGTTAATGTTATTATATTTGACAAATATTTTTATTTGTTATTGTTTCTTACTTAAGCATAAAGTTGTCAGTTCAAACACAAATTTTTTTATTTATTAATATTATTTATAAAAACTGGTTTTGGTTTTAAAGAAAATTCTTAGAAATTTCTTACTAAATTTCTTTTAAATTTTAGAATTTCTTATTAAAATTGTTATTCAATTTTTTTTTAATTAATTTGAACTTTTTTATTTGTTATTAAGACTCACTTAAGCATAAAGTTCAAAAACAAACTGAAAGGTACCTTTTTTTAGATGATGTCATAGGTTTATGCAATCAAAATTAACCTTATCTAGAGAACTTAATGCAAAACAAAAAACAAAAAAAATTAAAAGTTTATGTGTCAATAAATAAATTCCTAAAACAGATCTTTAAAGGTTAAGCTATGCAATTGAGTTCTGGGACTCATTGGAGCAAAGGAAAATCTTCAAAGATATTGAAGTAAATACTCCAAGATAAACTTACTTCTTTTCAAAAATGTAACCTTATAATAATTTACCCTGTATGATATACTGTGGATGATTAATAAATGTAAATACCTAAAGTTGTTAAACTTTTTAGCTATAACTTTTTAAAGTTATTGAAACCTTATTACTTACAAAAACTTTCTTTTTTTACTAAAATGTTTTAGAATTTTTTATTAAATCTCTTATGAATTTTATAATTTCTTACTGAATATTAAATTAAGCCGATCTTTAGCAAAACCGAAAAAAAGAAAGAAAGATGAACAACAACTTTAAAAACATTAACATCAAGCTATCAAATATTATCATAAGGTTTATAGGAGGTTATAATAAGTTTTAAAGGAAATTATAAGATTCATAGGAGATTATCATAAAGATAATAGGAGGTTACCATAAGGTTTGTAGGAGGTTATCAAAAGATTCATAGGATGTTATCACAAGGTTATCATAACGTTAATAGAAGGTTATAATAAGGTTCATATGAGGTTATCAGAAGGTTCATAAGAGGATATCATAAGTTGATTTTGAAAATATTACTTTCTTATTTCAGCATTACAAGTACATTTTTTGAATACTGCATCAAAAACGTATTATAAATATTTATTTTCATTTTTTTGTTATTATTTTTTTTTTTTTTCATTAGGCTGAATGTTTTTTCAAAATGTCATAAAAACCAGTTCATTTTAGGAAATCAGGTCATAATAATGCAGATAAAAAAAAAACTATATAAAAATTAATATTAAAGAAACTTAAAAACGATGCTTAAGAATTAATAAAACGACATTTTTATATAACTTAACTTTAATCAATTTTTTTATAAATTACTATTAAAAACTTGAAATCTAGCAGATCAAATTAACGGTTTTTTGATTAATATGTCAACTATTTTTTTGCATTTTAAAAATATTTTTGTTTTATGAGGTCCCAACATAAAAAGTAGTTGCCTGCAGCCTAGTTGGAGTAAATTAGTTTAAAAAAAGTTAGTTAAAAAAGATTGTTGCTTCTTTATATTTTAGCAACTATGAGAATTAATGAATATAAAACTCAGTTTAAACCTAAAATAAAGTTGTTTTTTGTTAAAATATTTGTGCATGAAAAATTTTTATGAACAAAATTTTATTTCAAAATTTTTTATAGCTGCTTTCCAAAATGTGCATATTAAAACCTTCAAAGAATTTTTCCTGAAAAATGATGTAATCATCGATTTCAAAAGTGCCACTACACTACTATTGCAGGGTAATTCCATATGAAATCATCAAAAAAAAAAAAACAATTTCGACACCCTTACGTCTTAGAATTTGTTCATTTTTACCTCACTTGCAGCCCATATTTAAAAATTATGCTAATTGTAAAAATTTTAGTTAAAAATACACATAGGTTCCAGAGATATTGACAGTTAAAATAATACTGAATCAGCATTTTAGTGATTATCTGAAGCGACTACAATGCAACATATAGTATCATCATAATAGCTTGGGGAAATTTCCTAAAATTTAGTACCGAATAGATTTTTACTTGCGGAATCCAAAAAGAGCACCCTCAAGACTCGACTATCTCAGGAAATGCCTTGTTTATCTAATTTTGTTCAAAATTATTGACTTATAAATTCATGATATTTGGAGGTAAAATGAAGACTGTGGTCCAAAATCTTGAATAAATAGTTTAATTGCATATCATTATTTTATCTTAGGTCTAATGAATAAAATTAGATTCATCAATTGTCTCTCTAATACTTGATCAAAATTTGCACTTAAAAATTTTTTGTCTTTTTAAAAAAATTTTAATTTTGTTGCAAAAGCAATTGAAATGTTTTTTAAATCATTTCAATTGCTCAATTGCAAAATCAAAACATTAAATAGTGTTATTTATTGACTAGACATTTATAGTCATAGGCCAAAGAAGGACTAGGGGGCCTCTGACCATTTCTGCCTCCTCCTCCCAGTCTCCCTGGATTTATTTAATATTTTTAATTTTTTTTTTGATGCATTAAATGATATAGTAATAAATAATTATTAAAATTTTATTTAAAAACATTTTTTTTTTTTAGTTTGAGAAACAAAACTAAGATCTTTTCACGATTTTAAAAATCATAAATTTTAAAACCAAAAATATTGAAATGTTTTTAACATTTTAACAATAATCAAACATTTTAACAATCAATATCTTTATATAAAGTAAGCACTCAAAACTAAGACCTTTTCATGATTTTAACCAACTGCCTATATAAGCAATCGCTACCCACCAAAATCCGTCAAAAAAATATCCAATATAATCCATTTTTTTAATGTATAATGAAATCACTTTATTATGTTTGCTTTTTGGAATGATATCAAAAATTTCAATACCTGTATCAATACTTGTTTTTTTATAACTTTAGTGTTAAAAGCAATTGGAATAAAATGATGATACGCCCTTGTGCCAGGAACTGTTCTTCCACCTAAATATCTTTTTTCTAATTGTGCTCATGTTTGGTCAATTTCATCTTTAGAAAAAAATTTAAAACAAATTCCTTTCATCTTGGTTTTACAAAAAGAGTACATTAAATTAACATCTAAAATCTGCCCAGTAGTTATTTGTTTTAGACTTTCTTGACATACTACTCTTTTAACAGTCCCACCAATACCATCACAGGGGGATTTACCATGATTGGTAGCAAAAAATACCTATTCAGCATTTAAATCAAAGTCTTTACTGTGATAACAAAGATTGATAAAGTTTTTAGAATTTTTAAATTGTGCTGCAAAACCATCGGAAAAGTATTTCACGCTTGATACATCAGGTAGATTTTCTTTGATATATATAGTTACTCCAGTGATAACTTTAAACCTCATCCTGAACAACATGTTAATAACTTCAGCAAAATCTTCTAAAAATATGCATTTGTTTTGGTTAAGATTTTCTTTACAGTTTTTCAAGTATCTACTTTGTGTTTTAGCAATATATGAAGGAGTGGTAAAGTGCAACCTTTAAAAAGAAAAAAACAAAACATTTGTATGTTTTTGGTATAAAAAAAAGGTAAGCATTCTCCGATTTGAATTGAAATAATGAAAAATAAATTGTTTTTCAAACTAAAACTAACAAAAAAAAATTGCAATTTTAAATTGAATTTTAATAATTATTTATTATTATATCATTTAATGCATCAATAAAATTAATAAATAAAAAAATCCAGGGAGATTGGGGGGAGGGCAGAGTTGGTCAGAGGCCCCCTGGCCCTTTCTTTGGCCTATGACTATAAATGTCCTAAACTAGTCAATAAATAACACTATTTGATGTTTTTATTTAAACAAATGATTTAAAAAACATTTCAATTGCTTTTGCTACAAAATTAAAATTTTTCTAAAAAGACAAAATTTTTAAACGCAAACTTTGATCAAGTATTAGAGAGACAATTGATGAATCTAATTTTATTTAGTAGACCTAAGATAAAATAATAATATGCAATTAAACAATTTATTCCAGGCTTTGTGATGAATAAAAACTGCGCAACGCATAAGCACAATGTGATTTTTGACGTCATTAAATTTTTTTTATTTGCTTTTCATATTTATCAACATTAACTGCACCAATTTACTTAATTACCGCAAAACTTCTTTAAATCATTAATGTAGAAATGTTATTATTTAAAATTGTTTTGGAATGTTTCGTTTTTTAAAATGTTAAAACATTTGTTTATTTTCTTGACGTTTGACACATTTTGTCTATACTAAGCGAATAAAAAACATAAGTTTTTCAAATAATTATATTTTCTTTTTAAAAAGTCAGAGGGTAATAAACTGGAAATTTTAATATTGTATGATTAAAAACTGTGCAATAGCTAATATTTTTAATAGCGATTTTATATAATAATTATTTATTTATTTTTATTTATTTTCATAAAGCGGTTGATAAGTACAATCACTCTTATAATTAAAAAACTTTAACGAACATTTGGAATAGATTTTTAATGTTTACAAGGAATTTTATTTTTGGTAAAATAAAATAAAATGTTAGAATAAAAATCTTTTAGGTATAAAAGAAATATTGCAGCGATAAAATTATTCTTAATAATTATTCGAAAAACTATTGACGTTCTATTTTTCAGCAGCTGTTCTTGAGCGCGCTTTGTGGAGTTGTGATAGTATTACATCTAGAAATTATAAAATATTTAGTGAATCCAATTGTGATACTGCTACATCTAGAAATTATAACATATTTAGTGAATTCAATTGTGATACTGCTACATATAGGAATTATAACATACTTAGTGAATCCAATTAACATCTTTTTATTTTATTTTATTGTGTTAACACTTTTAAAGTCAAACTTGCCACTACAAAGAAATCTTTAAATAATGGTACTGTCTTTATATATATATCAAATATATTTCAAAACAATAGCATCATGTCACTAAACTTAAGCAACAAGAATACTGCACCTTGACAACAAGCTATCTTTTTGTTAATGATATTACCATCGACATGGGTTCTAATTTATAGTTTCATAAAATAAAACACTTAATTACAATTTTTGTTTTATCTATATCAACTTTATAAAATTATAAAAAAAATTTATTTAAAAAATCCCTGATAAATGCAAAACTTAAATTAGTAGTACAATAAATTTTTGTTATTCATCAGTAAACTATTATGTGAGCATTGTATAAAAAAGATTTTTTTGAAGCAACCAATGAGATATAAATTTACATAAGCCAGTAACACAATAAACAAAATTGATGATTAGCAACAATAATAAAATAAGCAACTAAATAAATTAATTAGAAAAAGATTAGCAACTGAAGTAAGTAGACATAAAAACATGAAAAAAATTGAAGGTAAAAGTTAAAACTTAATGAAATGAATATAATTTTTTTTTACTATTTTTAAAGGAAACAAAGAAAATAACAATTAAAATAAATACCTTTTTTGAAAGAAATATTGGAATCTTTGTTTGGTGAATTTGAAATCTCTAAATAATATAAAGTTCTTACTTATAACTAAAACTATAAAAAAATCATAAATTAAAATGTAGAACTATATTACAAAAAAAATCGAAAAGAGTTCATTTCCGCAAGGTTTAATTACAAATGTCTTTTTATATAATTTTTGTTCACATAAAAAAATTTTCAAAAATTTGTATATGTTTAAAGCCTTGTAACCAATCAAGTATGAAACTGAAAAAACTTGGAGAGTTAAAACCATGTAGAGTTAAAACAAAGCTGAGACTAAGCAAAACAAAAACAAACGAAACTGCACCCAACAAACAGAGCAAAAAGAAAATAGTGTTGTAAAAATATAAAAAACCTAATAATTTATCAAAATCTTTTAATTTTATCCATGACCTTGTTTATCAAAACTTTATTTGAAACATTGAAAGTGTCTTTAAAGTTGATAAAAAACTTAAGGAAAAATCAGATCAGGCAGTTAACCAGGGCCAGATGTCTAGCTTTTACATAGAAAAACTTTGTAAAAAACTGACAACAACCCTAATCAACTATGTTTTAAAAAAGCTTTTTACTGCTTGTCATTTA